CTATTAAAGACCCATTAAAAGGGGTGAGGAGTTTTTACAATCCCCCAACAGGTCATCTCCACGATGACGCTGTTTTATTACTACGGCAGAATCCCTCAGGGTTTTTCTTTCTTGTGAAAATTAGAGCTTTTGTTATTTAAACTTCGCTGGGACAACCAAATCTATGAAAATGAAAGGAACAGCAATGACGTCATCGTGTAACCGTTCATCAAAAGATAAGGACTGTGATCTGTTTATTTTTTTTTTTTTTAGCCAGGCTTAAAATCTCTGTAGATTCAAGGAATTATAACCTGTGCGTTGAGAGCATGCCAGAGACCGATTTTGGCATGCCCGGCATGACCCAGATTATGGCACGCCCGGTATGCCAGAGAATTTGGCATGCCGGGCATGTCAGAAAATTTGGCATGCCCGGCATGCCGGAGATTTTGCTGGGTATGAATTACTTATTACTAGAACCTAGGCTTCTCGCGGCATGGGTGAGAAGGTCACGGAACCTCAAATTATGCTTACAGGGCATGCGAAATTCTGTTGCATGCCAATTTCAATGCAAAACCACTCTGGGGCCACCCCCTCTATTACCAGTGAGCAAATCATTGACGATAGGCATGGGAAAAATCCTTGCATGCTAACCAACATTGAAAACGTAGCAGAAATGTCCTCAGTTGCTGAGTCATGCCCTAGGGGAGGCTTTAAAATACAGAATTTCCGGACATGGATGAGGGAATTTTCCGTAAACAGCATGTGATCATGCCGGCTAGGACGTATTGCCTCCATATTGCCCCTTTTTACAGCTAGCTAGGCTCATTTTTAGGTTCCATGGCCTGAAATGACGATAAATTCATGCCCTAAATGTAAAAAGTCCAAAAACGTCCTCGAAATTTTAGTTTCCAAGCCGTTACTTGCCTGCTGTTCAATCGTGAGCCCTCCATCTGAAGGAATATGTTTCTTTACCATGATTAGAATCCCTCCAAAGTCTTCTTCCATTTCCCTCAGGGTATTGTTGTCTTGGATGAGAAAAGTTGAATTACGTAGCTCCATAACCATGTCCCTACACCTCCGATTTAACTCTCAGCCTTAACTCGCTGGGAGTCAAAGTCTGGTTTTACTTCTCCACGCCTCGATCAGGTGTTTCCACTTGTGAGCTAAGGCGGTCACTTTCTTTGTCGCCGTTACAGAAGATTAAGTTTGGTTCCTCATTGTTAAGAGCAGGTGTGTCAATAACATCTTCATCTAGTGTGAGGCGTGGTGAAATTGTGTATGCAGTTGACAACTGATTCCATCACCATTCAGGGAAATGTTGAAACACAGCAAAGTCTTGCACGGCAATCGTGTTCGCTGCAAAGAAACGCACTCATGGCGGGCAGGCTGGACATTTTCCTCCCGAAAGGTCAGCTCGTAATACCGTTTGTCCCTTGGTGTTCTAATTTCAAACTTTCCTTTCGAGATCATCTTAACATCTTTCAGGGAATTATCCTCTGCTCCCGTTATACTTAATAGGCAGTGACTAACCACTTCTTTCGGCCTATTCCACCGAAATCTTGTCAAGTCAGGATTGCATCCTCCGTAAGGTGAGTGACAGCGCGTATTTTTCTCCACGTATCTGAAAAGCAAACATGCATTCGGTACGTTAGTGTAAAGGTTGTGGAAGGGCATCCGTTATGTTATCTTGAATTGCAAATTGTATTCTTGTGTGTTTCAGAATGACTGGCTGCCAGATACAAGACAGAATTTCAGTACCTTGCACTGTTTCAGCCATCTCTCGAGGACCCAGTCTTGGCGTGGCTTATTTTCATTCCAAACTGGAAGTTGTTTTTAAGTTGTCAACGGCAGCATTAAACTTTGTCATGTTCTCTGCGTGAGCAATCTCCCGCGTTCGCCCCAAAAGTTCGTGCTTCGTGCTTCGTGCTAATCATTTGTTTTAGAAGTAAACGCCTAGTACAAATTCCTATCATACCGTGCAGTGATTGTGGAGCTTTGACACCAGGTGATGTAAGGCTTCCTCTGCAAAGCTGCCCAAGAGAATATCTATGGCTTTGACAATAGCATCACTAAACGTCAGGGGATTAAGAGACAATACAAAGCGTAGAGAGGTGTTTAATTGGCTTCGCAAAAAAAATTACTCGGCATATATGCTACAAGAAGTCCACTGCACTGAAAATACTAATCACGTATGGTCTGCTGAATGGGGCTATCAAGCTATTTTTAGTACTTATAAGAGCAATAAAGCAGGGGTATGCATCCTTTTCAACAACAACTTCGATTTTCAAATA